AATGAACTAGGAGGTAGAACAGAAGCGCTGAACACATTATTAGGTTAGTTAACTGGGATGTACTGTGAAACCATGATTCCATACCTCCAAACCAAGGAACCAACTTTTTATACGTGTACAACTTATTGACATCAATTACAATAATTGGCTGTTCAACCCTACTCTTAATCAATGCGATTTTCCCATCACCGTTAACCACCCCTTCCCCTCCATCCCACCTCTGGTAACCACTAATAAACTTTGGTCTCCACACATTTGCCTTTCCTTGGCTTTTTATGTAAGTAAGGTCATACAATATTTGTCCTTTAGTGGTTCACTTTTTTCACTCAGCATAATGTCTTCAAGCTCCATCCATATTGTAACATGTATCAAGACTGGCTGAGTAGTATTCCACTGTATGTAGGTACCAAATTTTGTTTATCCATTCATCTGTTGATGGGCGTTTAAATTGTTTCAAAGTTTTGGCTATTGTGAATAGTACTGCATAGAATATTGGTGTACAAGTCTTTGAGTCTCTGCTTTCAAGCGTTTTGAGTGATACCTAGGAGTGGAATTGCTGGGTCATATTGTAGTCCTATTTTTAGTTTTTTGAGGAACTACCACACTGTTTTCCACAATGGCTGTACCATTTTTCATTACCACCAGCAATAGATAAGGGTTCCAATTTCTCCACATCCTAACCAACATTTATTATTTTCTGTTTATTTCTTATCTTAGTTTACTGTTTACCTTCTATAAATAACAATAACAGCTTTCAGTTGCCAACACTGTGTTAAGTGTCTTGTGCGTACAACCCATCAAATTGGATAGTAGAGTCTTCATTCTAGCAGTCCTATGATTGCTTCTGATTCGAAGTACAACATGTGTATATGCACGTATGTACACACATGTGCACATAGTTCAAATAGTGCCAAATGAGTTCTACAAAAACGTGGAAACTGAGGTACAGTCACCTCAGGCAGGAAGGATCAGGTTCCCTTTACTATTTTTGTCATGTTTCCTCATTCTCAATACAGCCTGGTTTTTAATTCTTGATGGTAGCAAAGGTATCTTTTCTACACTATGGAAGACTGCCTGTGATCTGAGTTGTATAGGCTTTGTTCTTCACATGAAAACACTTTTTAGAAAATCCCTTTTGTCCTCTATTCTAGACCTTAAGCCCATTATCCTGGTAAAATCATTCAATGCGTTAAATACCCCCTTCCTTGTCATAGGGACAGAAGGAAGGTTGCAAACTAAAACAATTTAGGGACAAACTTCTAAACGCACTGGTTTAATATTTGCACAATACTTATATTTGTCCCATATAGCCTTGCAGAATTTAATCTTAAAGACTTATGAAGTGATTTGGTTAAAAAGCCCAGCCTGGTGTCAGAAGTACTGAGATTAAGTTATGACTCAATAATCAGAAAGCAATAAGGCTTTGAGCAAACTAACTTCTTCTTTTCCTTATCTAGAAAGTAATATCTGCCTAACCCACATCATTGAGTGTTTTGAAGATGAAAAATAAAGTGACGTATATAAAAAAGTGGGGCTCCAGGATTCTCCTACACAGAAAAGCTTAAAGGCATTGTAACCATAAGGGGACTTTGCAGCGGCATTGTCTAAGTATTACAAACTGTATTGTCCTTTATATCTAAAGTCTAGAAGGAAAAGAAGTCTTTGAGGGTCATACTTGTGGGATCCGTGATGTGCTGACTCCAGAACCAAGATCTTAGGGCTTGGAACAGATTACGAGATACTACTACTGGTTGTCTTTGAGTCAGTTTTGACTTGTGGCCACCCTATGTGTGTCAGAGTAGAACTCTGCTACACAGGGTTTTTAATGGCTTATTTTTTTTGGAAATCGATCACCAGGCCTTTCTTCTGAGGTGTATCTGGGTAGACTTGACCCTCCAAACTTCTGATTAGCAGCTGAAAGTGTTGACCGTTTGTACTACCCAGGGACTCCAGATTACTAGATATTGATTGTTTTTCTGATAAATTTTCACCTTGACAGCCTCCTGGAGCCTGAGCTAATTACATACTGGGGACTAAGCTGAGGCGGTACATTCCCCAGAGAACACAGTGCTCAGCTCCTGGTCCTGTATTTAAGTTCCATTCATTGTGCTAAGTGTCCGAGGTGAGTTCATGTGCCTATTTCCCCAGAATCATCAGGTTTCGGAATTAGTTTTCCATGCAAAGAGCCCACTGTCTCGTTGTGGATTAACTCCAGCATGTAAAGAAAACTGCAGGAGATTTCAGAGCTCTAAGAGGTGACAAGGACTGGATTGCCACATGACGACAAGATAGCTCAATATTGGAAGAAGAAGTCCATGTTCACTGGCTTACATGGATCAATATGAGGAGTAGAAACTGCGTGAGACCCATCATCTTAGGTGCCATTAAAAATCATTAGAGTCTATAGCAACTACAAAGAAAACATGGGGAAAAGTCATGGGAAGTTGGTTGACCACAGGAGAAAGAAGTGGAGAGCCAGATCCCAGGGACAGGGGAAAGCAGATAGGATGCCTGTGAGACACACACACACACACACACACACACACACACATATACACACACACACACAGTGTAACCTTATGAAACTTCTCAGCTTATAGTCACTTGATAACTGGTCAAATCAGGCAAAATTGTTAAACAGATGTGTGTATAGATACAGCTGAAACATCTATTTCACAGAGTCGCAAATGAAAGAATGTTTTTGTGTTCTCAGCTCCTTTGAAACAAGTCAAGTGCCATCGAAGGCATCCTAGTCTGTTCTTGCAGCTTCTTAAAGTTTGAGGGGGGGCATTGTCAGCCTTTCCTGAAGGCCAAAGAGGGCACACAGATTCACACATTCCCCACTACTCACACACATGGAGCTGGCATTGGCCCAGACACTGAGCCCAGAGTCAGAGGAGCCTGTGGGACTCACGCTCACTCCGACAGAGACCCTGGCAGGGCTGAGACCACAGTGTCCAGGGCTAGAAACTGTAGCTCTCTCCTGAGACTTGTCTCTGGTGCCTCCGCTTCACCCCAAGGCAGAGTACTCCTTGCTGAGCTGCTGTTGTTGTAGAACTGTGAGTGGATGGTGGAGGTTGGAGGGCTGGGAGCAGACAGCAACACTGAGGCTCCATGACATGAGCAGCAGCTGCAGGGGTTAGACCCCATATAAGCCCACAGCACTGTGTTGTGGTCAGAGTGGGTGAGCAGTGTTGCCGGCCCTGCCACGTCTGTCTGCCTGCTCCTCTACCACTGTTATCTTTCAGGCTCCTTCCCTCTCCTTTTCTTTGCTTCTAAATCCACCTCTTACCTGAGTGTGCCTGTTCAGGGGGATATGAATATGCATAATGGAGAAAATTGGTTCAACATATAAATAAGTGTGGGAAACACTGAGTTAAAAAGTTAAGTAGTTCTGTTTCAAGTGGCAGAATCTCCCAATTGCTTAATGTGCTAAAAGTAAACATTAAAGGGGGAAAACAAACTTGATTTATAGACTCTTCCCTGGGATTTGCGTTCTTAAGACCATCCTCTGGAAAATACTTATTTAATTCCTTTTGTCCTACTATTTAAAAAAAGTAGAAAAACTAACAGCAAAATATCTTTAGCTTATTGTTGCTTTATCTTCTTAATGCTTCAAATCTGAATGATTTCAATTATATAACTGTTAGACAGCATGTTAAAAAAAAAATGTAGAAAGTTGAATACTTTTTTCCCTAGATATTTACAGGACTTTCTGTAAACATTGACTGAAAGAGTTAAAAATCAGCCAGTTGCAAAAAAATTAGGATTTCAATTGAAATTTACCAACTTTAATTTTTTTCTCAATTGTACATCAGAACTCTTTTTGACTATAATTCTTCACCATCATTTTTCCTTGCTTTATCTTATTTTAGAGAGTGATAGCACATGTGATTTAACAGTTATAAAAGAAACAATTTAGAAGATTTTTACATGGAATATTTTGGAATCATTTCCTTAAAAAAGTGCAAATCTGCAATATAGAAGGGAAGGACAGAGAATAGTAGAGAGAGGTTGGAACTCTGAGCACACAAGTAGAACTAATCATACTGGCTGATGGATCCCCGTGGACAGTGAGCACGAATCCTGGCCACTTGTGAACAGTTTTGACCCATTCTGGGTAGATCGCCCTAAAATTCCCCAGCTGTGTTGACCATGGCATCTGTGCAGGCAACCAGGCCTGTGGGGATGCTTCTAGATGGTGAATCAAGAATCAGGACTCATGCAGCAATTCCAAGCCTTGGCAGTGGTTGACCATGCTTACTAGAACATGAATGCATGCTGTCTGGTAACCATACCACCAGAGACGGATCACAGTTTGCATGTTGTGATGGTTACGGTCATGTGTCAACTTGACTAGGCCATGATTCTCAATGGTTTGGCAGATATTATGTAATCATCCTCCATTTTTTGATGTGATCTGAGCAGCTAATCAGTTGAAAAAGGAGTTTCCTTGGGGGTGTGGCCTGCATGCAATGTATAGGGATGTGCTGGCAAAGCTTGCTTGCTCTCTATCCTGCATCCGACTTGTTGTCTTCTGACCTCTGGTTTTGGGAAGTGAGCTGGCAGTCTGCTGCATACCTGCAAATTTTGGGTTTGTCAGCCCCTGCAACCACGTGAGTCAGGGGAAGCCTCAAGCATTATGTCTGGCCCACAGATTTGGGGCTTGCCAGCTTCCACAACTGTGTAGGCCATTTCCATGAAATAAATCTCTCCATATATATTTATATATATGCTTTACTGGTTTTGCTTCTCTAGAGAGCCCAGCCTAAGACACATGTGGACTAAAAATGCAGCTATAATCCACACAGAAGGATTCAGGCATTGTGCCAACCAATGCAGTCTAGGGTGGCCCAAGTAATATCCTCAGTTTCTGTTGAACATCATTGCTGGTGGGTAATTAACAGTGGATAGAAAAGCATCACTCAAATTATCTTGCTGCATATTTGAATTTGATCAATAAACTTCTTGAAATTCAGAAATAGGTTCAACTTGGCGATGCATGTACACAGGAAGTGAGGAGATATCACTCTGTATTTTTCTCTGATGATTTTCCAACTGGTATACTAAGACATGGGGCAAGAAAACAAATCCACCACAGATTTCATTCTCCTGGGCCTCTTTTCTGACTCTCAGCATCCTGGCTTTCTTGTTGCCATTGTCCTCATGATTCTCATGGTGGCCATCACTGGAAACTCTGTCCTGGCCTTGCTGATCTGGGGTGATGCTCACCTCCACACACCCATGTACTTCCTGCTCAGCCAGCTCTCCTTCATGGACCTGACACTCATCTCCACCACTGTCCCCAAGATGGCTGCCGACTTCTTCTCAGGACACAGAGGTATCTCCCGCACTGGCTGTGGAGTCCAAATCTTTCTTTACTTGATGCTAGGAGTGGCTGAGTGTGTTCTCCTGACCCTCATGGCCTTTGACCACTACTTGGCCATTTGTAGCCCCCTGAGATACCCAGTCTTCATGACCTCCAGTGTCTGTGTGCAGATGGCTGCCAGCTCATGGGCTGGGGGTGTTCTTGCCTCCTTAATGCACACAATTTATGCCATGCACTTTTCTACCTGTGGCTCCAGGAAAATTCACCATTTATATTGTGAAGTCATGGCCCTTCTGAAGCTCTCTTGTGAGGACACTTCCACCTATGAGAAGGTGATCTTAGCGTCAGGCATTGTTTTCCTTCTTATCCCTTTTGGACTCATCCTGACCTCCTACACTCTCATCTTCCTCGCTATCCTCCACATGAGCTCCCGCGAGGGCAAGAAAAAAGCTCTGGCCACGTACTTCTCTCACCTTGGTGTGGTAAGCCTCTACTTTGGTCCAGCCATGATTATCTACATGTCCCCAGGTTCCTCCCTCTCCCCAGAGGTGGACCAACACCTCTTTGTGTTTGATGCCATCATTACTCCTGCACTGAACCCCCTAATCTACAGCCTGAGGAATAAGGAGGTGGTGGGGGCTCTGAAGAAGGTGCTGGGGAGAATGCTGATGGTTAAACAGGAAAGAAGTTGATTGTTTTAAATTTAAAACCATTTAAATAGAGTTCAATATTGGCCAGACATTATTCTGAGGACCTCCTATAGATTGACTCTTTTTATCATCACTATGATCCAGTGTGGTAGGTATTATTATCTCCATTTTTCAGACACGGAAACTGAGGCCAGGCTATTAGTCACTTGTTATGCAGAGAACAAGTGGAGAATCTAGGTTAGAAGCCATACCGTATGCCTTCCTATTTACTGCTTCTTAAAAATCTGCATTCTCTATTCTTTGACCAAAATCTGACAGGGCAAATGTGAAAAATTTGCCTTACTCCTTTAGATTTCATTTTATCTACCACCATCAGGATGTGATAAAATGCTTATGTTTCAATCTCTAATAATATTAGTTGGCTGTATCTGGGGGCAAATATACATGGTTCATTAGCTGTCCATGGAGAAGTCCCTTATAAGCCTTTTGAAAGAGATCCTGATCAATAGACTCACCTGGGAGCTCTTAAAAATCCATAGTTGTTCCCACACTAGACTACTGAATCACAATCTCCAGAGAAAAGTCTAGAGTCTTTTTAAGAAGCCATATGGAGAATCTTACCATCAGGCACTGCTGTGGAGCCCCGCTCTGCGATATGGTTTAATCCACCCTTTCTGCATTCTGTATTCTGTGCCTTCCTCCTGGTATTCTGCACTGCAGCCTTACTGAGATATTCCAACATTCTCAACAGGCATCGCATATACTCTTGCGCTTCCTTCAGCCTAGAATGGCCTTCACCTACACTGACCATCCACTGAAATGCTGGTCATTCCCCAGACTTACAGCTGGATCTATCAGCTCCTTTCTAACTGTGTCCCTGGGACTCATCTGTATCTCCAGCAGAGCCAGTCCCCAACCCTCTGCTTTGAGATGCCCAACTGTCTCCACAAAGAGCAAGTAATGTGCCTAGAACAGAGCCTCAGACTGAGTCATCTTTGGGTGCCCTACAGATTTTTGTATCTGTAGATGACAAGTAATGATCTGTTGAACTGAATTTCTTGAATTGTTTATGGTATTTGTCTTAAGTCCTGATCTGGGTCTCCAAATAGTTCCATAGAATCTCTTTCAGCAAATCTGAATTCCTAGGCCATGTGAAAAGTTGCCTCTGTGGATTAGTTTCCTAGGGCTGGTGTAACAAAATACCACTAAGTATGTGGGTTGTAAGAATAGAAATTTACTGTGTCACAGTTCTAGAGGCTAGCAGTTCAAATTCAGGTTGTTGGATAGACTACGTTCTTTGAAGGCTCTAGAAGATCTTGTTTATGCTAGCCCCAGGCATTCCTTTTCTTATGTTTGTATCTTCACATAGCCATCCTTGCTCTGTCAGTCTCTGTGTCTCTTCTTTTTTCATTCAGATTGGATTAGGACCCATGACCCAGTATGACCTCATGTAAACTTAATTGATAATATCTTCAAAGACCCTATTTCCAAACAATGTCATGGTCACAGGTACCAGGAGTTAAGGCATCAACGTATCTTTTTGGACAACACAATTCAACCCATAAAACTCTTAGTCATGTGGTTTTCTCAAATGTGGGAGAATATGAAACTAGACTGAGCAAGAGATGAATAACATTCACTAGACTCACCCACACAGCTGCTCTTTCTGTTGTTCTTTATCCATTCTTGTATTTTTCCACATTCATAATATGTATCAGAAATGCTGTTGTGTCAATTCCAACTCACAGGAACCTCATGAGTGTCAGAGTAGATCTGTGCTCTATAGGGTTTTCAATGACTGATTTTTGGAAGTAGATTGACAGGCCTTACTTCTGACCCATCTCTGAGTGGACTTGAACCATAACCTTTTGGTTAACAGCTGAGTGCAACAACAGTTTGCACCAGCTAGGGACTACTTGTCCATCACATGGTCACAAAATGTCAACTGTGCTTTTCATTCTCTGAATATTTAAATAAATTTGACAGATTTCACATTATAATGAAAGTTGATATTAGATAATCTGTTGATGATCTTACTGTATTGTGGAAATAAAAACTAAGAACATAATATTTTGTCAGAGTGCAAAGTCAATCAAAAGTCAAAGCATGATCAAGCAACAGCAAGCATGATACAGAAAAACAACACTCAAATTGCAAATTTCCAATCATAGCCAAGGTTAAATATTCCAATTTTGCATCTTCCTATATTATGAATATAGATTAACCTACACCAAACTCAGCAGAAGGATTCTAGTAACTGGAAGAGATTAATTCCATTTCATGGAAATGTGACTGGCCAATATCTGGACTAACCCAAGTTTTATCCTTGCCTCTCTCCACTTCCACTCTTTAAGATTCATTTCCAGTCACTAACCCAGTGACTTCCACCTTTTCTGAACAATTTCAGCACATGTGGCCCATAAATTACCTTGGGATGGTTACCATATACTTCTGATGGGATCTTTTATATTGCTATTTGGACTCAGTCTGGTTAACGAACTAGGAAAATGTTGCTCTGTGTTGTTCCACAATACCCTGGAAAACTCTGAGGGCACAGACTCTGAGGTCTTAGTTTCATCCTCAGGATATGCGATATATCAACGGTTTGGTTCATAAATCAATGTGTGGGCAGAAGCAGACCCCAGCCTCATGACAGGGTGGGAAGAGCAGGGTCTTTGCAACTGACAGATCCCAAGCTTCACATCTGCACACAGGCACACTGCGTAAGGTCTGATCTGTACTGCGGGATCATGGTACCTCCCTCCCAGGTTGGCTGTGATGTTAAAGTGAGTTGGCCTATTTAAAGGTCAGTGCCTTGAACCGTTACTAAAAAAGTTTGTTTCTTCATTATATTAAATAAGAATCACTTTTCTAAACTGATTGCTTGAATTGTTTGTAATATATTATTAATATAGTTGACTATAAACAGCAGCCTATTGGCTGCTTCCACTTCCATGCATTCAGAATATCCTTGTCCCTATATAAAGCATATGATTAGGAGCAAAGGCTCTGAAGCCAGAATGCCTAAACTTGGGTCTCTCTGCCTCAGTTTCCTCATGTGTACAAGGGGTTAGTTATAGAATCTACCTTCTAAGATTATTGCGAGGATTACATAAGGTAAATGAGTAAAGTTGAGAAGTGTGCCCGCATGCTGTCACCATTTGATAGATGCTGTTGTCATTATTTGTTCCTACCTCCTGAATGGGAGGTCCTTGAGGAGTTTGAGAAGAGCACCATGAAGCCTCAGAGCTAGGATATTAGTGGATGCCTGTGCTGAATCTTGGAAGGCAGATGACAGTTAGCCAAGCAAAAGAGGTAGGGAAGAGGCCACTGCTTTGGGCAGAGAGGTAGGTGCAAAGGCCCTGAGGCACGCCATGGCCTGGTGGCGTGTCTGGGGATGGTGAGTATTGTGGGATGACCGGGGCTGGGAGGGTGGAACATGGTGGAAGATGGAGCCAGATATCATGCCCCCATATAACCCAGACATCCTTCCTTTATCGGTATCACTTTCTTATTCATTTTCAAATCCATTAGGGAATACTTAGCTAGACCCAGGCACTGTACTAAGAACTGGAAATACAGAGGTGAATAACCCATGAATTCAAGTAGCTCCCACTGTGAGGGTTAGATGCATATAGTCAGGATGGGGCTGTGTTTAGGATAGCAGAGAAACAAGGAATAGAGGCAGGTAGCCTTTTCTGGGAGTTTAGATCAGGCTTCCTGGAGGAACTGCCCTCTATCTGGGTCTGAAAGAATAAATACAATTAGCCTGGGGAAGAAGGAGGGAGTGGTATGGAAACCAGAGGGAGCAGGGGAACCAGGCTCCCAGCAACCAAAGGCATGAATGCAGGAATCAAGAACATTGGACCATTTGGGGGAGTGTGTCCCCAGGGGTAGGGTCTTAAGACCACCAGTGTCCCAGGACTGCCACTGCAGCTCAGTCTCGCCCAGACTAGAGGATAAGTATGTTTACTTGTTTATTTGTTTTTGCTTGATGGAGTTCAGTTGCGGTCTGGAGTGGCATGTTAATTAAAGTCTGGGGATATCACGGAACCAAGACACTCCCCTGAGACTTAGTATTGTCTCTGACTTTGGCACTGCCCTATATTTAGCCCCTATTCTATTTTGGAATCATGAACTACAGAATAGTCAAGGCATAAATTTGTTCACTCCTAGCAGCCCTTGGCCTACATTCTGGGTGGTCTTTCCATATAAGCCACATGCTCAGTACTTGCAAGGCAGCAGCAATGTGCAGAGGAAAAGGGTGGGCCCCTCCTCCATTCCAAGATGAACCTGGGAAGGTCTCCGGCATGGAGCTATGAGCTCAGCTTACTGGAGAATTAATGTTCTGGATCATGCGCAAGTACTCCTACCTCATGCTGCGTAGAATTGCTCTTAGTTAAGGGTCAGTTGATAAATTAACCAAGGAAGCAGTTGTTTCAGGCAGAGTGAGTCACCTAAAGGTTTTAGAAACAAGAATCCAGATGTTGCAAGGTTCTTTGTCTTACTCCGAGTGTGCCATTATTTTATCGGAAAAATGTTCTGGATTCCTGTACTTGCTAAATGATCCCAAACCCTTGACCACTTTGACCATGTTCTGACTTGCCCAGCTTTTGAGGCCTTTCCTACTACCCTGCACTGTCTGGCTACACAAGGCTGAGAAGCTGTACCCTGAGACAGGGTGCCTTTGTACCCTTCAAATGCAGCCCTTGGATGGTGTTCTGGATTAAGGCCAAACCCTTAGTTTTGATGATCAGATGCCATGGAGTAACCTTTGAAAGAGCAGCTATTTAGGAAGGAGAGGTAGAACGCAGGTGACAAGAAAGTCGTGTCATGGTTTTTTTCCTTCTCAGGTGCTTAGAGGAAAATGAAAGAAAAAAAAAATTGAAACTCCCCATTCCTTAGGGCTGTGAGTACAGACTCTTTGAGATAGAGGAGAGTCACAATCTCTTCCTGAGTTGTGGCCGTGGATGAAGTCTGGAGAAAGGTGATTGCATGAACGGGGCTAGTATCATGATCTGTGAAGAACATTTTTGACTGTC